TCGATTTGCTGGTTCGATAGCTACTAAGATCACAGAAGATGGGGAGAAGCCTGTGAAGGGTACCCAGGAATTCTCCCCATTATTCTTGCAAGTTCCCTGGGAATTTAAAATTATTTCTGAACTAATTTTAGAAAGCTTTTCCTCTGAGAAAAAATGCTATCTGTTAGAACATATCTGAAGAAAACTTCAATAGACTAAATGCCAATTAACAAAGAGGGTGGCCCGGCTGGTGTGGCTCGGTGGTTGAGCATCAACCCATGAACCAGGAGGTCACGGTTTGATTCCTAGCCAGGGTACATGCCCAGTTTGCGGGCTCAGTCCCCAGGAGGGGGCATGCAGGAGGCAGCCAATCAATGATTCGCTCTCATCATTGCTGTTTCTATCTCTCCCTCTCACTTCCTCTCTCTGAAACTATAAAACACAAACATTTAACAAAGAGGGTGAACATTTCAAGCAAAAGAAAGCAAATATCACTAATTCCACTTTACATTTTGATCTTTAAATTTTCATTGGCTTGAGTGCTCTCTTTCCCCCAGAGCACGTCCGCTCAAGTCTTCTTTTCGAGTGAACTTTCCTAAATTCCAAGGGCCATCCTTCTGCTTCTGTCACTTGTTTCCCGAGTCTAAACAGCCCAGCTGGCTCACTTCTATTACTTCTGTAACTTTTTTATTTTTATGAGTTTATTTTAATTAAACTGAAGACATATGTCAGGGAGCAAGATCTCAAATGCTCCTCTGTAACTTTCTAAATAAACTTGCTTTTATAATTTGAGAGAGAAAAAAACTTCACTGGCCAAGACAAAATACCAATGCAGTGGTTGTAACAGCTGCAAGAACATGTCTCTTTAAAAAAAAAAAAAGTTTTTATTGATTTGAGAGAGAGAGGAAGGGAGAGGAAGAGAGAGGGGAACATCAACTGGCCACCTCTCTCACGCCCCCCACTTGGGAGCGAGCCCAAAACTGGGGCATGTGGGAATCAAACTTTCGACCTTTTGGTGCACAGGACGACACTCAACCAACTAGGCCAGGACAGACTTGAAGAGGTAGCAAATCTTTATATTTGTCCTGCTCCCCTTACTCCACTACAGAAACCCCACGAATAGATGAAAAAGTACATGCACCAGCCCCAGCAAGCCACCCACCACAGATGCCAACAGCACACAGGGTTCAGAAGCCGCTCAGCGCCTGGAGACTGGCCGGGAGCCCACAAGTCACCTCGTCGTAGTTGGTGTCATTCAGATCCTCATCATCGTCATCCGCAGCCTGGCTCTTCTTCATCTGGTCCCCGACGGTCCTCTTGCCCGGCGGCGCATGGCGGTCATCCACAGGATCGTTGGCATCGCGGGCAGGCCCGATGTCGGACCGGGTGGTGAAGCCAGTGGCACTGCAGAAGACCCCAAGTCACCCCTCTACCTTGTCCTGTGCTCTTCCTGCCACACTCGTCACTGTTCCTAACACCTCCAGACGCTGGTGGCAGAAAGCCTTCCACCCACCCTGAGGTTACTCAGACTTGCTTTTGCCACCACATCCTCCTTAGGAGAGGATCCCCAGGGCATGAGGCTGCCCTTCTTCCAGCCCCAGGCCTCATGCCCAACAACCTCCCATCCAACCAGGCCCCCAAGCCCGACCTGCGGCTACTCTGGGCTGTTTCAGCGGATGACAGTGCCATCCTGGCATTAAGGCAGACACCCCCTGGTATCAGCTTTGCCTCCCTCAGTCCTTCTCCATCCCATCTGTCCCCATGCTGCACTGAGTCCACCTCCCAACCCTTCCTTCTCAGGCCATGACTCCCAACAGCTGGTAACCAAGTGAGCCCCCCACCCCACCGCAGCTCTGCTTCCCCAATGCCTCCAGGGGCCCCGCTGCCATCACCGCAGGTTCTGCTCAGACTCCTTGCTATCTATTCCCTCACCTGCCTCATCTGTTTCCTTAACTGCCGACCACACAAAATGTCAGTTTCTCCTATAACCCTGCCACATTTCTGCATCTCTAAATCCAGCTTTCCTTCTAAACCTGGCTCAAATGCTACCACTCCATAAAGCGTCCCCTGGCCTCTGGACCCCAGAGTTCTAAATCTGTTACCCTTTATGAATTTATTTATGCATTTACCCCAACTCTTCTAGCCAACTACAGGTCCTCTGAAGGCACTGTCAAATATGAGGCTTATATGTATCCCACAGATTCTAACACAATACCAAGGAGAGAAACCCAGTTTTCCTAACCAAATCTACCAGCAAACAGGATAACGACTGCTCATTTATTCAACAAGGTCTGGCAATCGTCTGTGTGACGGGGACCTAGTCGCAAGACTCCCGGATGCCGCCCCTGCTCCTGGGGAGCTGAGTTTGAGCGAGCAGGACGAGACCCACGGAGGCACTGTGAGCCGCCACGGGCTCTCCCAGATCTCGGGGCAAGGCCCGCTCAGTCAGACCTCCCCTGAGGACTTTTGCACTGTGAGAGGGTGCAGGCCAGGCTGAGGGACCCCCGAGTGCACAGATTTCATGCACTAGGCCTCTATTTTTAAAATAAGTAAAGTGACCTAGAAAAAAATACCACACGCGGTGAAGCCCAGTCCCCCGCGCCTGGGCAGCACGTAGAGCTCATCCTGGGGTCTGTCCTCTCTGTGGGGACGATCCTCCCTACAAACACTGAGCCAAATGGCCTCGCATCTTCCAGACTCGGTGGCCGCAGATCCTCACTGATTGTTTCAGTCCGGTAGTTCGCATG